AATTTTAATTAGGGGGCTTGGTGATAAGACGTGCCCCTGCACAGGGTGTGGGAATATAGCTTAGGGTGCCCCCAGGACCCAAAAGAAAATAGCTTTCCGCCTCAAAAAGGGACGCCCGAGCCAAATCTGATGTGGGAGTGTTCCAATAGGAGGGAGGCCTCTTCCGTTGGGGGCCCGAGTGACTAGGAAACGAGGGTTCCCCATTGTGTCCCGCTCCAGCGGGAGGGGGACACTGCATTGGGCGCCGAGCGCCCGGGGCACAGACCTTGTGCAAGCCGACCCTGGGGGAGTGCCCCGGTCCGGACCGATGGCGCTCGGTGTGGAGCAAGCAAGACCCCCCCCCCCCCCCCCATCGGCGCGCGCCCGAGGTTCAAACGGCCGCCAGGAGCACCAAGAGGACTCCTCATGGCTGTGGTCAAGTGGGCTTCGACCGGCCTCGGCTGGGGGGGCGGGTTGTCCCGGCTGCGGACGCCTTCTGCAGCCCCCTGGGATGGGGACAGCACCCCAAAACTGCCCCCGGCGGCATACAGCACTGCCAGCCAGCCTCTTCCTCCTCCTCAAGGGCTGTACTATAGGCCATATTGCGCCGCCTCCTACTGGCAGCCGGGCGGGCGCGCGCCGCGGGCGCCTCGGCGCGCGCACGGCTCGCAAAGTTCGAACGAGTACTGCCGCCTGGCCGCCTCAAGGCTGCCGGGCGGCAGTACTCGCCTCGCAAGGCGCGCACCGGCTGCTCTGGCTGCTGCGCCGGCGGCCGCTGCGCTGGCCGCTGCTGCGCCGGCTGGCGGGCGGTACGGCCGCCGGCGGCCGCTGCACCCGCGCCTTCCCTCCATCCCTCGCGGGCGCCGTCGCGCCGCGCGCGCCCAAGTCTGCTGGCACACGGCACGCGTCGACCGTCGTCACACAGCCGCGGAGAACAGGCGGTGCTGTGCGCGAAGCGCGCGCGATCTCGTACTTTAAGGCTGGATCCGGCCATTCCAAGGGTATACCTTTGAGAATCCCCAGCGTCCCACCCTCCTAGTCACACTGTCCGAGGAGGCCACCGGCCAAAAGCGCATGTCTTGAAGGTCCGATACTGGAAGCCCATACAGGCACCTTACACACACTCTCAACATCTCGACTCGCCAACACGAAGTGCTGCGATCGGCGGTGGCCCGTTTCTTTTTTCTTTTCTTTTTTTGGGTCCTGTGGGCACCCTACCTCTGTCGCGTCGCTCTCTCGCTCTCCTCAGGGATTCCCAGTGTTGTGCGCTTGTTTTGTTTTGTTGTTTGTGCGTGCGAGAGAGAGAGATTTTTAGCAATACCTTAAAGAGAGGTTACAGGCGGGTAAGGTCCGTTAGCAATACCAAACAACTCTAACACTCACACGTCATTTGGGGCCTGTGGAGCCCTGTTCACGCGCGCGCGAGACGTGCAGACAGGGTGCGCGGCGCGCAAATCTTTTACGAGTGACAGTGCGCGCCAGTCCCGTGCCCAGTGGCTTGCGAGTTTAAAATTATGTGCTGTAATTCTCCCTCACGCGCGTCGAGCCTCGAATTCTCGTTTACGAAGCCGGCCACTGCGGCAGTTTTCTACGAAGCCGGCCGCTCTCGGCACCGCCATTCGCGAGCGACCTTCGAGTCTCCGCCATGAGCCGCCGCACCTCCCGCCGGCCGCGCTTCGGCTCGGTCAGCCACATGCACGAGGCGGGCGGCGGCGCGGGCAGCGTGCGCGAGGACATCCAGGCGCTCGACTACGACATCGACGAGTCGACGCTCTTCCACCAGGAGCTACTGCGGCAGCCGCTCGAGTACCGGCGGCGGCTCAACCTGTACCGGTGGCTCATCTGCGGCGCCGTCGGCTGCGGCACCGGCGTCCTCGCCTTTGCCATCGACTGCATCTGCGAGCAGCTCTTCGACGTCAAGTTCTCGGTCGCGGCGCACGCGATGACGCACGCGCTGAGGGGCTCGGGGAGCTCGGCGGCCGCGTGGGTGGCCGGGCTGGCGACGATGAGCGCGATCAACCTGCTCTTCGTCTCGGTCGCCGTCGGCCTCGTCGTCTGCGTCTCTCCCGTCGCGGGCGGCTCCGGCATCCCGGAGGTCAAGGCGTACCTTCAGGGCGTCAAGGTGCCGCGGATGCTGCGCTTCGACGCGCTGCTCGCAAAGTCGGTGGGCGTGCTGTGCGCGGTGGCGAGCGGGCTCGTCGTCGGCAAGGAGGGCCCGATGATCCACATCGGCGCCATCATCGCCGCCGGAGTCTCGCAAGGGTCCTCAAAGAGCCTCAACGTGCGCGCGGCTCACGTCGCCTTCCGTGACGGCCTGAGCCGCGCCTCAGCCCTGCCGGAACCCCCCCCCCCCCCCCTCCCAGGTGCGCACGATGTGGCTCAAGTCCTTCCGCAACGACCACGACAAGCGCGACTTCGTCTCGGCCGGAGCCGCCGCCGGCGTCGCAGCCGCGTTCGGCGCTCCAAACAGAGGGGCGGAGGCACGAGCACGGCTCATCCACACCATCTGTGCATGCGTTTGGTGGCCTAGGGGCTCCGATCGGGGGGACGCTCTTCGCGATGGAGGAGGCGGCCACGTACTGGTCGCAGCCGCTCACTTGGCGCGCCTTCTCCCGCACGCCTCCCGCCCGCGCTCTGCAGTTCGGCCTCGGGGTGTCTAGAGTGCCTCTTGTGTGCCGGAGGCGAACCTTCTTCATTGATTAATTGATTGATGAATCAATCAGTTGAGTTGTGTGCTGCAGGCGAACCTTCTTCTGCGCGCTCTGCTCGACCTTCACGCTCAACATCCTCCTCTCCTCGCGCCGGACGGACCACTTCGGCGCCCTCTCCCACCCCGGCCTCATCACCTTCGGCGCCCCGCCTCCGCTCCAAAGCAGTGACTCTCTTCCGGTCCCCGTCCTTGAGCGTCCTCGAAGCCGCGTCCGCAGGCGCCTTCCTCCCCTCCGACTCGGACTGGGACCTGCGCGAGCTGCCCATCTTCGTCGGCCTCGGCGTCGCGGGCGGGCTGGTCGGCGCGGCCTTCGTCTCTCTCTCGCGGCGCCCTCCCTCCCCCTTCCCCCCCACACCCGCCCCGCCGGCGGCTCTGAGCCGGCGACGGGAGGGGCTCAGAGAGAGAGAGAGAGAGAGAGAGGGGTTTGTCTTCCAGGCGCCTCACTGTCTGGCGGCTGCGCGCTGTCGTGACCGCGAGGTGGCTGCTCCCCCGCGCGCGTGGGCCACGCACCTTGAGCGCCGTGGAGACGCGAGGGCTGCCCCTGCGCCGGCGCACGGACAGGCCTCTTGTCGCCCCCCTCCCCCTTCTCAGGCGGCGGGTCTGCGAGGTGCTCGCCGTGACGCTGCTCACGACATTCTTCGCCTTCTCGTTGCCGCTGCTGCTGCCGTGCGCCGACCACTTTGCGACGCGAAACAGCACTTCGCATAGCGAGGCGCCGTGGCGGCCCGAGGCGCCATTCGAGGAGCCGACGCCCCGCTCGCCCCTGCACTCGCGCACACGGGGGCCTGGCCAGGCACTTGCTCCGAACCTCGCTCCAGGCGCCAAACCCGCTCGTCCCCGCCCTCGATGAGCTGCTCTGCCCCGCGGGGCGGCACGCCGGCCTCGGAGAGATCACCCTCGGGCCGCACGAGCACGCGATCAAGGTGCTCTTCCACTCGACGACCAAGCCGGCGCCCGTCAACCTCGGCATCTCCGCCATCTACGCGCTCTTCTCCTTCGCCCTCGGCGCGCTCACGCACGGGCTGCCCGCCCCTCCGCCCCTCCCCCAACTGGCGGCTCGCCCACCCAATCCTCAGGCGTACTCACCTACGGCCTCCCCGTCCCGTCCGGCCTCTTTGTGCCGGCCATCATGGCGGGCGGCGCCACCGGCCGCCTCTTTGGCGAGCTGCTCTCCATCTACGCGCCCGGCTACTCGACCAGCCCGCCCGGCAATTTTGCGCTGATTGGCGCCGCCGCGGTGCTGGGTGGCGTCTGCCGCATGACCATCTCGATCACCGTCATCGTGGTTGAGTGCACGACGAACATCTCGTACTTGCTGCCGATCGCGCTCACCATCATGGTCGCAAAGCTGGTGGGCGACCTCTTCAACGAGGGCATCTACGACATGCACCCCCCCCCCCCCCCGCACAGAGGCGCCCGATGCGGAGGCCCCTCTTCACACGCGCAGCTGTGAGCAGGCACATCAGGCTCAAGCGCTACCCGATGCTGCCCGAGGAGCCGCCGCACGAGCGCGAGCGGCTGCAGGCCAAGCACGTGATGGCCACCTCCATCAAGTCCGTGTGCGACGTCGAGCGGGTGGGCAAGATCATCGACCTCCTCAACACCACCACGCACCACGGCTTCCCCGTCATCGCCTCCTCGCAGCTCCAGCGCGCCCGCCCGGCCGACGGCAACCAAGGCACGCCCTTCCAGCGCAAGCCGCGCGTGCTCGGCATCGTGCTGCGCGAGCAGCTCGTCACCATCCTCGCCAAGCTCAAGGCGCACAACTGGCGCGCCCCCTCGCCCGGCCCCGACCCGCACGCCCTCGCCGCCGACGACTTCCTGCGGCCGTGGTTCAACGAGGCCGTCTCTGCCGACTCGGTCCGCATGTCTGCCGACGAGCTCGAGCGGCGGATCGACCTGCGGCCGTACATCAACGAGGCGGCCGTCGTCACGGCGCAGAACTCGTCGCTCCGCCGCGTGTCGGCGCTCTTCCGCTCGCTCGGCTTGCGCCACCTGCTCGTGGTGGAGAGCTGCCCCACAATCGTGGGCGTCGTCACGCGCAAGGACCTGCTCATGGGCGGCGAGGAGTTCCTGCTGCCGGGCGGCGACTGCTGGCGCGACGACGAGGCGGAGGAGGACGTGCCCGCCCTCCACCGCGCGCCCGCCTCGTCGCCCGCGCGCCTGTGGCACTCGGCCTTGAGCCGCATCACCAGCTCGAGGCGCAGCACGCAGCCGCGCGGGACGAGGCTCGCCAACGCGGCGCTCGACGCGAGGCTGGACGAGCGAGTGGCCGACGAGGCGGGGCTCCAGCCGCTCAGCGCGAGCGCCTTGCGCCCCATCGCCAGCTCGGGAAGCAGCGAGGGCAGCGGGCGGGCGGGCGGAGGGAGCGACGGGAACGGGGGCGTCGCTGCACCGCCGAGCGAATAGCTCCCCTCTACTAGTTACACTCGAGAGTTTGCTGGTTCCAGGAGCACTACTAGCCGTACAGTTGCGGGAGTCTACAATTGCGCAGGAGATTTATGTATGTAGCATATGCTCTGAGGTCACAGTATGGGTTCGGCACCTGTTCACAGCAGTGTGAAGGTATGGGATGAGAAAAAGAAACTCCGGAGTACCAGTATGGATTTTCTTTTTCCGAGGCCGCGCGAATCCAGGCTGGATTTCTTCTTCGCGCGGGGTGAAAAAAAAACACGGGGCGAGGTGCAATCTGCCATGCTGGACCAACTGCCGGAGTTGGACGCAAGAAGAAAACGCAGCGTTTTCCTCCCTTGGGTTATCGGCTCCTATAATGGGGGCTTTTCATCGCAGCGCAAATCTATCGCAGCGCACTCGCCATCTGCGAGCCTAGCGCAGCGCGAACTCGCCGTCTGAGCCTAGCGCAGCGCGAACTCACTCTGAGCCTAGCGCAGCGCCTCGGACATCACCATTTTGGCTCGTCAACAAGCCCTCCGCGCTCCAACTTTTCTGCGAGCTCGCTGGCCGCAGGAATAGTTAGAGGCTGCGCAGGCCGTCCCGTTTGCTGTTTGAAACGCCTGTTGCGCTGGCCGCTGCGCGCGCGCGCTGGCCGCTGCCGGGGCTCTGTCTCACTCTCACGTGCCGCAATATGTGTCACACACGGCGGCTTCTGCCACCTCTCGATTGGTTCTACTTTCTCCGCACACCTACCGGGGAAGGGGCGCTTGGGAGCGGGGGCGGGGGCGGGGGCGGGGGCGCGCAGCGCGGCTGCGCGGCGCGCGCAACAGAGGGTAGGGTGGGGAAGACGGCGAGGAGGGGGCGGCGGCGGCGGCGGCGGCGGCAGCGCGCGCGCGGCGCGCGCGACGGGGGGGCGGAGCAGCGACCGCTGGCGCGGCCGCTGCTCCGTCTGTGCCAGGGACGCGCGCTCTGCGCCGCTGCAGAGCGCGCGCGTCAGGGCAAGGGGCATGCGTGGCGGCGCGGGACGCGCGGCGGCGGCGGCGAGCACGCTCCGTGAGCGGTGAGGCGGCCGGGCGAGGGCGCGGCGGGTGACGGGTCAAGGGAGCAGCCCACACCCGGCGTCGCTTTTTGAGCGACGCCTGTGGTACGCCTGCGCAGGGGCCGCAGGGCGGTCAGTTGTGGGGCGAGGCGGTGCCGGCCGCGGGCCGGGTGCAAGGCGCCGGCCTCGGCGCCGCCTCGGCGCGCCGCACGGGCCCGGCGAGCCTCTGAGCGGGGGCCGAAGGTTTGCCGTGGTGGGAGTGGGTAGGGTGGTGGGGGTGATTTGACTTTGCCGCAGAGGCCGTCCCTAGCTGTGAACAGCAAAACGGGACAGTATTCTTCTCAGAAGGCTGCCTCCCGCCGTGCTGCAGCTGAGAGCGTGCGCCTGCGTGTTGTGCAGCGGGAGCACGGACAGCGCCTCCGCGCGCGGCCGGGCAGCGAGAGCCTCTCGGCGAGGGCGGCCGACCAGTTCCCGTCGAAGCTCGTCCCGCAGTAGCTGCCGCACGCGTGCTCGGTCGCGCGGAGGACGACTTCTGCGGCGTACTGCGGCAGGTCGGCCGCCACGCGCGACCAGGTGTTTCGCGTGTGCGCCGTGTGGCAGTGCGAGAAGAGGGAGAGGAGATGCGCCCGCGGCGAGCGAATAAGCAAGCCGTTGAACCCGCCATCGACCCGCACGTCCGAGGCGCAGCACTCGCAGTTGGCAGCGCAGAGCACGCCGCTCACGCTCGCCGCCGCCGCCGCGCACGCCGCGCACGCCGAGGTGGAGAGGTTGCGTCGCCAGCCGGAGCCGGTGGCGGCGCGGCGGCAGTGCGAGTAGTCGAGGGGCGGATGCGGGTGGGCGGCGAGGTGCAGCTCGAGCGACTCGCCGCCCGTCTTGATGATGTGGAAGAAGCGAAGCGAAGAACCTGCGCGGGTGCTGAGCAGCCGTGCGGATGCCAGCACCTGCGCAGCTGTCTTCTCTCGACGGTAGCTGTCTTCTCGCCGCCGTATCGTGGAGGCGAAGTGGAGGGGAAGTGGCGGTGTGCTTGTGGGAGTGTCCTGGGCGACCCTGTACGCGCCTGGCGGCGGCATAGCCAGCGGCAGAGGCGGAGGAATGCCGCGGGGCAAAACCTCCTCCGCCGACCGCAGGGCGAGAGCGGCGAGAGAGGCGGCGGCAGCGGCGGCGGCGGCGGCGCGAGGTGCCACTCGTCGAGTCGGAGCTTGTAGAGGCGGGCGGGTAGGACGGCGTCCCAGGCAGGGCCAGTGGCGGAGAGCGGGTTGAGGTAGAGCCGCTCCAGTAGGTGAAGTGCTCCTCGCGCGCGACTGCCGCGTCGGGCAGCACGGTGCACCTGCGGGGGTAGACAGGGGAGGAGAGGCGGCGGCGTGGAGACCGTGCAAGCCAACGCGTGGCTGCGACTACCGCATCGAAGGCGGCGCACCCGTCCACCAAGCGGGCCGCCCCCTCCCCCGGCGAAGCGGCCTCGAGGCGGGGCGCAGTGCTGCGGGTTCCTCGTGAACGCCCATGTGTGGGACAAAGGCGCACCTGCGGCCGGCCAGTCGAAGCTCGTGAAGCCGAGCGGTGTGGCGCGGACCTGCTCACAGCGAGGCGTGTGAAGAGACGCCGCCCACAGCCCTGCCGCCAGTGTAGTCGACTGGTGTGTGTCGTCGTGGTTTCGTATCTCTCAAGAATACTCACTCACTCACTCACTCAACGCAAGGGCGGGGCTACAGCTTTAGACAAGCGCGATCGACATGCTCGACGCGTGGCGATGGGATGACCGCCGAGCTCGCAGCCCTGCTCGCGCCAGAAAGGCGAGTGCAAGTGAGCTCAGCAAGACCGCCCCGAAGCGCGCGCGCCGCGCGAGCGCCGTCCCCTCGGCCAACAGCCTAGCAGTGGCAGGCACTTCCGCCTCGTCCGCGAGTGGTGGTTGCGGTGGCGGCAGCGGTGGCAGGGCGATCGTCAGCGTGGGCGGCGGTGCGCCATCGGGTCCAGGACCACCGAATTCGCGTGGGAGCAAATTCCCCATCGCGTTGGTGATTGGGGAGAGGGGAGCGGTGGAACCATGGACTGGCCATTCGGGTAGAAGGGCGAGGGTGTGCGTCCCGCCAGGTGCGTCGACCGGCAGCGTCGCCGAGCCAAGCAGTGTAGCGCCCGTAGCCCAGACGTCAAAGACGTAGAAGCTTCCGACGGGAATGGTATGGTTGATCTGACAGCAGTAATGCCAGTCCCGACGCCCGTCACATCCTGCTGCCTCCCAAAGTTTCATTGACTCCTTGGTACGCGTTGCATTGACTCCTTCATAGAGTGAGCTGTTGGCGCAGCGCGTATGCGGCGGTGGTGCAGCCACTGCGGTGGAGCACAGCTCCCGGTCTGCGGCAGACACTGAGACAAACGCCTCAGGCGGGAGCCAGCCCGCCCATCCGCCAATACCTATCCCATTCCATGGCAGACCATCGGCGGATTGAACGCACAGCTCGCGAAACGAGTCCGCCGATGTCGAGTTGGTTTGGCCGGTGAGCTTGAGCTCGTCTTGCGCACACCGTCCGACGCCCGCCGCGCCGCAGGTGGCAGCGCAGAGATCGACGGCGGGCAGGTCATCAGCGTAGCCGGCGGGCGGCGTGAACGTCGGATTAATTCCCGGGAAAGGCGCGCGGTAGTGGTGGTTATCCGGCAGTCGTGGCATGTTCTCGAAGCTATCCATCACCGTCTTCGGCTGCTCTTCGGTGTCGTCCTCCCTGTCCTCTCCAATGATCCACTCCGTCCGCAGGGTCTTGACAGAATGGCGGCCCAGCCACCGCTCGCCGCACAAGGCGGCACGTGACCACCTGCGGGTCTTGTGGACAGCGGCAGAGAGGATAGACCCGCAGGTGTACGATCCGTCATGCCCTTTTGTTCCCGTTATGATGCCAAAGATGGGCGCATCTGTGCATGGGCGCGGGGTGGAAGGCGGCGACGGCGGCAATGGTGGTATGAATGGGGACGGTGGAGGTGCGCGGGGCGCAAGCAGATCGAGGCAGTTCGAGCCAAAGAAGTGTATCGAAAAGGAAGCGAGGAGGTCAACATACATCTTCCCAGAGGCGCCTCGGGGGGCCGGTACGATAAATTCGCTCGGGTTCCGATCGCACGCTCGCATGGAAAAGCCTTCGCATCTATCCAGCACGCTGCAGTATCCAAGACGCTTCTTTGTACACATACTGCAACGGCTTGCAGCATCTGCAACAGCTGGTGGGGCAGTCTGCGCACTCGAGAGTAGCAGTGCCACAGGGAAGAGAGCCTGCATTGCGGCTGCGGCTAGGACCAGTCAGAGCCGGCTAAGGGCCAAAAGTAAAACGCGCAACGCCGCTCTCGGCTCTCAGAGAGGCGTTATATCTCAGTAACCCCGCTCGCAGGTACTAGAGCAGCGTTCGTCAAGCTCAAACCCCACTCTGCACAACACAGAGCAGCGTTTGCCTAACAAGACTCCGCTCTGCAACCTTCAGAGCGGACTCTTGCTCAGAAAAACACCGACCGAACACGTTCGAGCGGAGTCAAGTCAGTGCAACACCGCTCAACATAGCGGGAGCGGTCAATTCCGCGGAGAGGCTGCTTTCGCCTCCCTCAGTCGCGCTCTCCTTCGCTCCTCCTCTTCAGAGCGGGACTTTGCTGAGTGAACACCGCTCTAGCTAGTAAGAGCAGCGATTGCTTTAAGCTGACACCGCTCTAAATGGCGTGAGCGGCGTATCACTAAACGCGACGCCGCTCTGACTACTCGGAGCAGTGACGACCCACCCACACGCGCTCAACCCCAGGGGCGGGGCTCGCCACGCCGCGCCGCGCGCCACGAGCGATCGTGGATCCGCCGTCGGCGTCAGGTGGCATCGCCGTCCCGGCGTCCCAGAGCAGCGTCTATTCAGGGCGACGCCGCTCACGTCATTTAGAGCGGTGTCAGCTTAAAGCAATCGCTGCTCTGACCAGCTAGAGCGGTGTTCACTCAGCAAAGTCCCGCTCTGAAGAGGAGGGGCGGAGGAGAGCGCGACTGAGGGAGGTAAAAGCAGCCTCTCCGCGGAAATTGACCGCTCCCGCTGAAGAGGCGCGGCGTCGGCCGTCGCCGACCTCTCTAGATTAGCGTCGGAGACGCTGGCGTGGCTGCGCACGCTCTCGATCATCATCGCACATTGCCCTAGCGCTTGGCGTGACGGGCTAGTGCGCCGAACAGGTGCCAGAGGCGACCTGTGAACAGAGAGGTGTGAAGAGGCGCGGTGTCGGCCGTCGCCGACCTCTCTAGCGTCGGAGACGTCGGCGTGGCCCTGCCACGCTCTCGACCATCATCGCGCGTCGCCCTAGCGATTATAGCGTGACGGGCTAGTGCGCCGAACAGGCGCCAGAGGCGACCTGTGAACAGAGAGGTGTGAAGAGGCGCGGCGTCGGCCGACGCCGACCTCTCTAGATTAGCGTCGGAGACGCTGCCGTGGTCCTGCCACGCTCTCGACGATCATCGGGCATCGCCCTAGCGATTATAGCGTGACGGGCTAGTGCGCCGTACAGGCGCCAGAGGCCACCTGTGAAGGACAGAGTGCAAACGAGGCGCGGCGTCCTGCACGCCACGACCCCCACCTCGGTCGCAGGGGAGGGCGGGTGGCGACAGAAGCTGTGGCAGGCGCAGCGGCGAGCAGAGAGGCTCTGCCGCGCGCGGCACTTTCCATGTTCCAAGTTTGGTAAAGTTGTCGTGCTGGCTTCCGCTGGGGCGGAAGTTCGAAGTTCACGCACTACCTGTAAAGAACCCGGGCCGCGCTAAAGCGCTATCCGGCATTCTTTCCTTTTCTCGTGCGTTCCCTCTGAAGGCATCGGCGGATCCTCTCATTCCACATGGTTCGAACGACCGTACGTGTGTACGTACATCACAGGGCATGAGAGAGCCCACATCCGGATAATTCGCACGATGTGCTCTATTGGTGACAAGAGGCGCGAGCTCCGGAGGCTAGAGTCCCGTGACGACTGTCACTTCAGGGTACTCTGAGCCGCTCGTGCCCCTTCCATTGAGTGAGAGGCTTGTCGCCCATTGAGTAGAGAGAGGGGCTCTCACGATCAGCAGTGAGTTCATCGCCAGTTATCTGCGCCTCCGTTCGTCGCTCTCGTGCTTGATCGTCAGGCCGTGCTCTCACGTTTGCTGAGCTACCTCCGCTATCGGAACCATTTTACAAGTTTGCCCGCCGACATGTCCCGGTCCGGCTCAGTCAATTCAATGTCGCTCGGCGCTCGCTGGCTCCGTGGATGCTTGTGCTGCTGAGCAATCCAGGCGCACCTTGGCAACCGGCGGCAACGACTTGCGGCGTCAGCATTCGAACGGTTGCGTTGATTTGCTTGCTCCGCGGTATCTAGCCGGCGCGCTCCGCGCGTGTGTCTAGCTAGCGCGCTCCGCGCGTATGTCCGAGTAGCACCAGCGCGCTCCGCGCGCACCATAATCTCAGTGCCACTAAAAGCTCGTTTCTGCAGCTTGACACACACACACACACACACACACACACACACACACACACACACACACACACACACACACACACACACACACACACACACACACACACACACACACACACACACACACACACACACACACACACACACACACACACACACACACACCGCTCACCCACGCGCACTGGGCCTTGCACTTTTAATGCCGTGGGGCTCCTGTCGTTAGACGTGGAGACGCGAGGGTCGCCCCCCCTTGCCCCACCACCTCGTGTGCGTGGAGAAGTTTACCTTACTTACCTTACCTTACCTTACATCCGACACGGGGATTCACTGCACACTCATGACTCATGTTAGCAATTCGGGTTTCGCCGGCATCGTCCAACTTTGAGAGAGATGTCAACGTGAATGAATGAGGGTCGGTTCGTCTGCCAGCTGTTTGTCGACTCTCTCCAGGTTCTCGAGGTGGATATCCTTTGGCCGCGTTGGGTACTCGTTTGTTGTGTGTGACTCGGGGTTCGACCCTGACAGCTTCCCTGAGAACCCCGATGCAGCAATGCCCGCATGACACGTGTGCCGATTGCTGCCTCATGTGCTTAGTCAAACGCACCAGGGCGGGCGCGCTGTGTCCCCTACCCGGCTAGGAGCCGAACCCAATCATGATGGCTCTTCGATGATGGCCTCGCCACCTAGCCGGGTCCGACCCGGCTCTTCGCCGGCTCCTCTGCCTTCGCGCAAGGCGTCAACGGCGGTCCAGCACTACTGCGACACTGGCACGCCGATCAACCCAAGTGGGTTCGCCACACGCGGTCGCCGCATGACGCCAACGAGCTCTCAGCTCGATGCCGCGGTTGGCCAGTTCGGGCCGCGTGAGCGTGTGGTGAAGCCGCCGACGAAAAGCGGCGAGTTCCTAGTCTGCGAGCTGTGCGACGCGGGCAAGCTCGCCGATGGCATCGCGGTCTCAACCGTCAACAAGACGGGCTCGGCCGCGAACGCTTGGGGCGAGAAGCCACATTCAGAGGCGCAGGCGTGGTGCGACCTGGTGGAGGCGGACAGGCCGCTCGGCGTCTCGAAGCTCTTCAAGTATTCGTGCGTGGTGTGCGTCCGCACGGCGCAGGTCTTCTCGCGTGCGCTGGACCGGCCGGTGGTGACCGCCTCCCACGGAGACGAGCAAAACCTCTCTGCGCTGCACGCCTTTGACAGAGGCGAGTGCTGAGATGCCACAGCGGGCGGGGGTGGGACACGGGGTGGGACGCACGTGCAGCTTCAGCCCTCTCGCTGTACAACGACCTGCCCTTCCCACGACGCCGCGGAACCAGGCGAGTACTTTCCGATCGCCAAGCCCTCGCAGAGCGTCCTCGCGGCGGTGCGCGAGAGCGGGTCGCACGAGGGCATGCGCGCCCTCGTCGCGCTTGCCAAGGGCGAGGTCTGAACTCCTCCTCCCCCTCGCCTCTTTTTTCTCCTCCTCCACCCTCGTCTCCACCGCCCCCTTCTCCTCGTGCCTATTCCTCTCGCCGTCCAGCGCCCCCTTCTCCCCACCCCCGCCCCTCAGGCCAAGGACGAGCACGCGGCCCTGCTCTACACGCGCCACGGCGGTGCAGACGTGCTGCCTCTCCGGACCCGTCCGCGAACCTCCTCCGAACCTTCCTTCCGAGGTCTCCTAGGTGCCGACGCGCTGCCTCTCGGCTGCTGCGCATCGGCCCGCGGCAGAGTTGGCTCGCTGCTCCGTGAGCCTCCCTCGACCCTTCTCGGAACCTTCCTGCAGGTCCTGGCCGACGGCGTCGACCCGCGGCAGCGGCGCGAGCTGCTCCTCACGCTGCACTTCTCCGTGCTCGTCTCAGAGTACGCGGCCGCCGTGCGCCGCCGCCGCGAGCCCGAGGCGAGCGCCACCCTGCGGCAGGTTGCTGTTGCGCAGCGGCAGAAGCTCGTCGCGGCGCTGTCCGGGCCACTGGTGCGCGCCTCGCCCCAACCTCATGCCGCTGCCACCGCCCCCCCCCCCCCCCCCATTCGCCTCCCACAACACCTTTCCGCCACAACTGCAGAGGAACCACAGAGGCAGCCACACGCACACGCTGTTGTGCATGTTGCGCATGTGCATGTGTGTGAACCGCGTCTCCTCACGGCTCCGGCCGTGCACAGGTCGGCCTCGCCGCGACAGCCGCCGCCGCCGCCGCAGAGCAGCTCCTCTCGCCGCTGATCGCTGACGGAGAGTGGTCTGCCTTCTCGGGCCAGCCGGCCGCCACACCGCCAGCCGCCAAGACGATCGCACCGGCGACGGAGCCGCGCACTGTCTCGTTGTCGACGCCGCCGCAGCGTGGGGAAGCCGTGGATTTCGTCGTCGAGAGTGTGCAGGAGACGCGTCACAACGGGCCTGTGCGGCTCTTTGCCAACGGCCGGAAGTTCGTCTGCTTTGGCCGATACGCGAGAGGCGTGCGCTCCGGCCAGCGCATTCGGGCGGCCGTCGAGCGGCACGAGCCATCGGGCCGTTTCGGGCCGCAGACCGTTCTCGACCCGGCGACGCTGCGGGTCGGCGAGGCGCACAAGCGGCCGGCAGGCGGCGCGGCAGTCGCCGTCGCGCGTCCTGACATGCCAGTCATCTTGTCGGCGAGTCCGAGAACGACGACGGGGGCGGCGCCTCCGGCCAAGTCGGCGCTGCGCGCAGAGTCGGTGGTCGAGGTGGAGGTGGAGGCGCGGCCACAGCCGGACCGGCCGCCAGCGACCACGCCGCCGCAGCCCTCCAGCTCGCCGTCGCCGCCCACCGCCTCTCCGGGCGCCGCATCGCATGCCGCGGGCGCGTCGGGCGGCGTGCCCTCGCGGGCGAGCGGCTCCGTCAAGGACATGGCTGACAAGCTCGCCGCCGAGCTGGGGCTAGCGGAGGGTGCAAAGATCCCGGAGGTGGCCAAGGCGGCATGTGGGATGCTCGAGGTCGACCGCACGGGCAGCCTCGCCGCCCAGATTGCCGCGTGCTACGCGAAGCTGTTTGCGAAGTGAGATACGGTACTCGTACAGGGCGCCCTGCGCTGTAGTCTGTACGTTTGGGCAGGCCCTCGAGCCCCACGGCCTTGCCACTGCCCTGCTGTACTGTCTTGGTCACCCCGTTGCAGCCTCGACAGAGCGTCCTTGAGGCTAGGCCCTTTAGTATACTAGTATGCGTTGAGAGGCGATCTCGCCGGCAAAAAAATTCAAAACTCGCGATTTTTTTCAAAGTGTTAGTGCCAGTGCGCGCAGCCCGCCTAGTGTGTTCGCGGAGCAGGAATTCTTTCCAACAGCGCCGCTTCTCGGTCGCGCAAGCTCGTTGTGGACGGCAACCGTCTTCGCGAAGTGCGTCACCCGCAGTTCCTGTCTCCTCCGTCCGGCAACCCTCTTCGCGTTGGCGATGGACGACATCTGGCAGCCTCTCTTCCAGCACGCCTTCGAGTCCGACGTCGTGCTGCTCGGCGAGGGCGACACCGTCGGCCTGCACACCAACGGGGCCGCGCTCGTCGCCTTTTCGCCGGAGCTTCAGGTCCACATCGACAAAGCCACCGCCGCCGACATCGAAAAATCGGCCGTGGTGGTCGCCGACAAGGCTGACGTGGTCTCTGCCTCGACCGGCGCGGCATCGGCCGCGCCGGCCGGCGTGGCGTCGGTCTCGGCCGGCGTGGCGTCGGCCGCGGCAGGCCAAGTCGCGGAGACGTCCGACGCGATCTCCATCGCGCGGGAGGAGGGCCTCACAGTCGTGCCGCTCCCAGGCTCGCGGCGCGCCATCAAGGTCTCTTCTCATGCTGCCCCATCACCCTTCTCTCGCCACGCACGCCACTCGACTCCGATCCACCCTCCGTAGCTCTTCCTGCGCCTGGCACACGAGTCGCTCCTCAATGCCGGCGGGGCGGACAACTTCGACTGCGGCGAAACAATATTCGACTTCCTGTGCGACAACGAGTCGCTGCACTGCGAGTTCCTGGAATTGTGCGTCCGCGTGGGCGACCATGCGCAGGCGCTGACGGCGGGCGGAGGCATCACGCGCGCCCTCAGCGCCTCGCTCGAAGCCACCACGAGCCGGCTTGACGATGGGATCGACTCCGAGGCCGCGCTGCGCATGTTCTCCTGCCTCTCCGAGCGCTTCTCGGTTCGCTCGAACCCGCCTGCCGACATCGCCGGCTACAAGGATGTCGTGCGGGAGGTGGCGGAAAATCTCGCCGTTGAGGAGTCCACTCTCCTTCAGCTCCTGACCCCGAGCAAGCTGGCCAGCCTCGATATCTCGCAGCTGGTCACGCTCGTCGACATCCTCCCGCCCGATGCGAGCGCGGATGGGCCGCTGCTGGTTGGCGACGTGATTTTCTCCGACTTTTCTCGCATCTCAGGCAGCAACCCGTCGTATTCGACATGGCGGCTACAGGTCTCGCTCTCCCCCGACGGCACGACCGGCGCCGGCAAGTCCATCACCCTCCACCTCAACGTGAACCCACGAAATGGCGCGGAACGCAAGCCCGGGGCCGACAAGCTCAAGAAGTGCGGCGAGTTCGATATCAGTCTCTCCAAGGTTCCCTCCTCTTGCGCCGCAGCGTTGAACTGTTCGCCTAGGCCGTACGCACGGCAAGCCCGGAAAAAAGAAAGAAAACGCGGTGCCAAGGGAGGGATGTGGGAGACCAGAATTGTTGTGGGAGACCAGAAAAGAAAGAAAGAAAAAAACAGACAACCCAAGGGAGGGATGGGAGGACGGCACGCCGCCACCACACAGGGATTTGGGAGACCAAGCCCGGAAAAATTGTTCCCGGCAGGAATTCTTCTCAGCAGTCCCGTGCCCAGTCCTGTGCCCAGAAAGAAAGAAAACAGGCAACCCAAGGGAGGGATGGGAGGACGGTACGCCGCCACCACACAGGGATTTTAGGGGAGAAGTGTGGTGTTAGCCGTCGCCCACCCTCGGGCGTCTACCACTTCCTATCTCTCTCCGCAGTTTATCACCAATTCTTGCAGCGACCTTCATGCCACCTCGCATAGTCCTGTGCCCAGTGTCGTGCGAGGGAGTTTTGTAAAATTCTTCTCAGCGAGCTCTCAGCGAGCACCATGGCCGTGCGCTTCTTCTGGGCGCTGCTTCTTCTCGGCCTGGCCTCCGCCTCGGCGCTGCTCGCGCCGGTGTCGCGCGCCGTGGCGCCGCCGCGAACGGCCGCGCCCCTCATGAAGGAGGCGGTCACCCGCATCGAGATTGAGGTGGAGCAGGGCGAGCCGCTCGAGAAGGCGCGCGCGCGCCCGGGGGCGCCTCGCTCGTCCCGCCCCCGCTGGCTCCCGCGCCTGCTGTGCCAATGAGATGAGGACGATTGCCCCCTCCTGAGGGCCCGGGCGGATGGCTGTCGGCCGACATTAGGCCTTCCGCCCGGGGGATTACGCCATCTCTGGCTCCCAGTGGCGAGCGGGGCTCACTCACAAGCTACACGTCTGATCAACGCAGCCCCAGACGTTCCCTTTCCCCCGCACCCTCGTCCGACCCAGCCCGCCCCGTCACCTCCCTCTCCATCCTCCCTAGGCCATCGTCCGCTTCAAGCGCGCCACGAACCAGGTTGGCGCCCGCCTCCCGCCTCCGGCCCTCCGCATCCGCCTTCCGCCTGGCCTGCGTGGGCTCTCGTCCGCGCAGCCGCGCCCTCGAGACGGGGTGACACACGCGCCGCCCTGCCGCCTCCCCGCAGGTTGGCCACTTGCGCATCCTCCGCAACCGCAAAACCTTTGAGAACAACCACGACAAGAAGATCCGCAAGAAGAAGGAGGCGTTGATGCGCGCCGCGCGGGCGCGCCGCTCGCGCCGGGCGCAGGAGCGCCTGTGAGAGGTCCGGATACCAATATTGTGGGTTGAACTCGATTCGTGGGCGCGGGCTGTGCAGTGGGTGGCCAGCACGCGCGCTCTGGAACCTATCGGTGCGCGGCGCGCGTGCCTGGCGCGTGCTGTACAAAAGCAAGGTGCGCGGAGTACACGTAATGCACCCCTTCGTTTGCCGTAAAGAAACTACGGCGCGGTTGACGAGGCAGGCGTGTATGCTGTGTGTGAACGACTTTTTCGCGCGCGCCGTTTGGGGTTTGGCGGGATGGCGGGGCCAGAGTGGTGAGTGCAGAGAGAGCCCTAAGTCGATCGCGCGGCTCGCGCGGGCCGCGGCGCGGCTCGTGCCGGCTCGGCGTGGCAGCCGCCGGCATTGCCATTGGCGGCGTCTCCACACCACGGAGCACGGGACTGCGGGCCGCGCAGTCGAACGCGACCCGCTCGAGAGCGCGGCGAGATACGACGCAACGCAATAGAGAGACGAACGGGAGCACATAGAGTACTCTCATAATCTCATACAGTGCACGTGGGTACATCTTACATAATGGCTAATCGGCTATACCGCACCCCGGCTGCTATAGCTAGCTAGCGGAAGCGCACCGGCCAGGTGGGGGGGCATGGACCTCGCTTCGGGTGGCAAGGCGGAGCGGCAGGAACGAGCCCGCGACAGGCGCGTCCTCTTGCCTCGCTTCCTCCCGGGCGGGCAGGCGCCGTGTGAACGGGAGCGCCGTCTGATGGCTCCACCGCCGCGATGCTGAGGAGAGGCGGGCCTCCGTGCCGAAGGTCGTACGCGCCGTCGGCTTAATAGCGGCCCGGGCTGGCTGGGTCCCCACCGCCTGCTGCGCCGCCGCCAGTCGAATCCAGTTGCCTTGGCTCGGCAGGTCGTGCGTCGAGGGAAGGGCCTCGCAACTGAGGTTGTGCAGGCTGGACGCGGCGTCGATCAACTCCTCTCCGCTCTCCGCATTCGGCCCTGACACCGTCCTCTTCGCCGCCGCGCCGTCAGCCGGACCGGTGCGCGCCGCCGCCGAATGTGGCGTGGCGTGGAGCACGCACGGCGTCGCAATGTCGAGAAACTCGGACGAGCTCGGGGTGGGCGGCCGAACATCCCCCTCCTCCCCGCATTCGCACTTATGCAGCACCACGGGGAGTGTCTCGGCAGCGGTGGCGAGGAACGCCTCGCCTCGCATGCGAGCGAGCGAGATGTCCAGTGAGTCGAGCGGGACTGACTGCGTGTCCACATCTCTGGGTGGCCGGGCAGCGAGGTTGGAGAAACCCCGGCTCGTCAGGGCGGCGGCGCGCCGACTGGTGGATCGCCGAATGGCCTTCGGCATCCCGGATGCCGCGTCGCACGCACGGTCGGTAGAGCTACTGGATTGCGTGGCGGGGCGAACAGGAGCCCCGAGCCGGAGGAGGACCGCTCTGCGATCATCAGAGCACCGCTTGCCCGCTTCGGCGAGGGCGCGCTTCGCATGGACGCCGCCCGGCGCGGGCTGGATCTCGGTGGGATGGACCAGCGGCGGACGGGGCGGCGGGTGCCAGGTGGAGACCAAGCCCAGAGCACGCACCCGCGCCGCGTCCCAGGCAAATTCAACTCCGTCGCCGGTCTCGCTCGCCTCCGTCGTGACTGCGTCCAGCAGCGACAGGTGCTCGGGGGCAAGCATGTACACCGCGAGGACTCTACGGCAGCGCGCGTGCGCGATGGCAACGTCGGCCGATGGAGCGAGCAGCCCGGTGCTCATACACGTATGTCTATCAGCTCCGGGTCCGATCGCGCTGAAACGCATGCGACACTCACTAAAAACGTCCGTCCCACCGACAACTCAACTGTGGTTTCTTCGCGGCAATCGCGTAACGGGAGGCTCGCTGGGTTTTTGTGGCTTTTTGGACGGCTTTTTTGGATTCTCCCGCCCTCCAACCCCTCTCTTGGGTTTTTTCAGTGTATGTAGCTCTTACGTACATTCCCGTAGGAGACTCTGCTGACAGGGTTTGCGATGAGGAGCGACCCGAAGGGTTTTTTTGTGTGTAGACTGCGAAGAGAGATAGGAAGAGGCAGACTCCCTAGGGTGGGCGACGGATAGCGCACCACACACCTCTCCTTAAAATCCCTGTGTGGTGGCGGCGTGCCGTCCTCCCATCCCTCCCTTGGGTTGTCTGTTTTCTTTCTTTCTTTCTTTGGTTTTTTTGTGTTGTATTTTTTCTGTTCCTTGTCCGAGGGCAAGTTCGCACTGACTGAGTGAGTGAGAGAAAAGACGTTGGAGCTAGTACCTGGAGCTCACATGCCTACGACTATAGATAGAGGGCTTCAGGTCGCCCTGACGCCCTCCTTCCTGCATGCTGGGACCCACACGTTGTGCCTTCCGACTGTCCTCGCTGTCTGTCTGCGATCTTGGGTCCGAGGTGTGCCTTTGAGTGAGAAAAGACGAAAGGGGCCAAAGGAAATCAGCTACATAACGTTGCTTTGCCAACAACAGACCTAAGACAACCTCGAGACGGGGACCCACGCAGCGGCCTAGGAGTTACCCTCGGAACACCTCAGGCAGGAGCCGCCCGAAGCGCCGCCAGCAGGCGTACACACAACTCCGGCGATGGCCCTCGATGGGGAAGAGGAGCCGCTCACTGGCTCCGCACGCGCTGCCAAGCCGGCTGATCGCTGGCCGTGGGTGTTTGTCGGCGTCGTGCTCGGCCTTGCCGCCGCGCTCATCTTCACTCATGGCGGCAGCGCGGCCGGCATGCTTGGCGCGCCGCAGGAGACCACGTGCGGAGGGTTCCCGTCGACGGACCCGGGGCACGTGGTCCAGCCGCGCGACGGGCGGGTGACCAACGTGCTCGTCACCGGCGGCGCCGGCTTCATCGCCTCGCACTTTGCGCTGATGCTGGTCGACAGCGGCGGCTTCAACGTGACGGTGGTGGACGACCTGTCGCGCGGCTCGATCCACACGATCCTGCGGCTGCAGGAGCTCGCCAAGGCGGCGGGGCAGCCGCTCCACTTCGCGCAGCTCGACGTCGCCCGCCAGTTTGAGATGGCGGCGCTGCTGCGCGAGCGAGCCGTCGAGCTGGTGGTGCACTTCTCGGGCAACGCGTACGTGGGCGAGTCGATGGTTCGGCCGGAGGACTACTTCCAGAACATCACGGTCTCGACCGTCGCCCTGCTCCGCGCGATGGGCTCCGCCGGAGTCAGCAAGCTCATCTTCTCCTCCTCGTGCGCCACATTTGGTGCGGCCGCCGCAGATGCCGCAACGCCGAGATGGAACCGCTTCCGTCGCGCCGAGAGCGCGCCGTCTTGATGCCCCGCCCTCCCCCCGGCCACTGCCCAGCCGCCACCCCCACCTCCACCCCCCCCGCAGGCTCGCCCACCCAGTTTCCGATCACCGAGCAGACGCCGCAGCGCCCAACCAACCCGTACGGCGACCGCGCCCGCGCTGGCCGAGCGGGCGACGCTTGCGAGCGGCTCGAGAGGAGCGGTGCGGCGGCTGGCTGTAGGCGCGGCGAAGCTGCAGGCCGAGCAGGCGATCATCGCGTACGTCAAGGCGCGCAAGCGCGAGGGCGTCGCCTTCTCCGCGGCGCTCCTCCGCTACTTCAACGTCGTCGGGGCGGACCCGCGCGGCCGGATCGGGCCGCACCTGCGGCACGAGGCCAACAAGCTGTACCCGCGGATCGTGGACGCGGCGTACGACGTCGTCCTCGGGCTGCGGCCCGAGCTGCGCGTGATGGGCTCGTCGTACCCGACCAAGGACGGCTCCGCCGCGCGCGACTACATCCACGTCACCGACCTGGTCGACGCGCACGTCAAGCTGATGGCGGCGCTGCGCGGGAACAGCCTGCTCTACTACAACGTCGGGAACGGGATGCCGTACACGGTGCTCGAGATCATCAAGGTGGTCGAGCGCGTGACCGGGCGGCCGCTCCCCTTCACCCTCTCCCAGGAGCGGCCCGGCGACCCGCCCGCCCTCTACTCGGACCCCGCCAAGATTAAGGCGGAGATCGGCTGGGAGCCGCGCTACGCCGACATCGAGGCGGCGGCCAGAGAGGCGCGCCGCTCGCGAGAGGCGTCCGCGCACCTCCCGCGGCCCTCTCTCCCGTAGGCGATGGTGCGGCACGGCTGGGACTGGAGGCTCGAGCGACGCGACCCGGCGGGCAGCGTCAGCTGGCACGAGTCACGAGTCTAACCTGGCTCTGGTGCACCCCTCAGGCTCAAGCACTACGACCCGGCCCACCCGTCGCCTTCGGTGGACCCGCTCGAGCACTCCGGGCCCGCCTTCACCGAGGATAGCGACGACGCGCCGAAGCTCGGCGACAACCCGCGGATCGCAATCATCGGCGCCGGCCCGACTGGGCTGTGCGCCGCCTACCGGCTAACCGAGCTCGGCTACACCAACTGGGAGCTGGTCGAGGCGTCCGAGAAGGCGTCGGGGCTCGCGTGCACCATCCGCGACGAGAACCGCTTCTCGTGGGACATCGGCGCCCGCTGCCGAGTCACAATGAGAGTCCTCCTCCTCCCGACTCGCGGTCACGAGACTCCCAACGACAGGCGTCCACTGCCTCTTCTCCCACTTTGAGTTTTTCGACGCG